GCACCCCACAACCTCTGTCTCCTACACACACCCCACAGCAAATCTTAAAAAAATAATTATTTATTTAATTTTATTTATTTTTAGTTTGACCACAGAAAGATAGAGAGAGAGAGAGAATGTGAGAATGCAAGCTCCCGGGTCTAGGATGTGAACTGTGGTTAGCTATGTGAGAATCCAGTACCTCAACAATCATACCACCTGCCAACCCCAAGCAAAATTTAAAAACTACCTAAAGAAAATAACTAATAATTTTTTAAAGATTTATTTTATTCAACTTATTTATCTATTCCAATTTGACCAGAGGTGGGCAGAGTAAGAGAGAGAAGGAAAATGAGAAAGCAAGCCTCTAGATCTGGGACTCGAACTACAGTTGGCCATGTGGGAGTCCAGTGCCCTTAACCACCACGCCACCTGCCGACCTCAATAATAAATATTTTTAAAAGAGTAAAGTCTTTTTTTTAGAATTAAGTTAATATTCTTTGTTTCCCTTTAATTTGTCAGAGGTCACATGTGCTTGACAGAGAGAAACAAGGAGATGGGGGAGAGGGAGAGGAGAAAGGACCACCATGGGGGACGGTGCCACCATCCTTCCTCTCCCTTCTTTGAGGATTTTGGGTACACGTGTACATGCATCTGGTGTGTTTCTCAGGCTGCTGGGTCTGGGACTCAAACCACATGGTCAATCTTGTGAAATCCAACTACTTTAAGCACTATGCCACTGGCTGGCCCTAATATTTTTGATTAGAGAAAAGTTACGACAGAATTGGTTAAGAAGGTAACTAAAAGTAGGGTTAGATTTGTGTGATTTAGGGAGGTATTTGTTTGCAATTTTGTGTCAAGAACTGCTCAATGCTGTCAGCTAATTTTTAGGTGCTGCTAAGAAATATCCATCAAAAGGCTGGCTCCATGATCTGGTGGTTCAGGCAGCTGGATCCCGCATAGCTGACCAGGGGTTCAAATTCCAGTCCCTATGACCTGAAAGACATGTTGGGCACATGTATGTGCATGCCCCAAATCTTGACAGAATGGAGAAATGAAGAAGGAATCATGGCTTGGTCATGTCCTACTGGGAGGTACATCCATCCACCTCCCCATTCCCACCCCCATCTCCCTCTGGTAAGTGCACATGCTCTCTGGCAAATTAAGATGGCCTTTAGGCTGAGAGATGTAATAGAACAGAACAAGTTAGGGAAAAGCTTTAAAACTACTATGTGCAGATGTAGAGTAGATACATAGAGAGTTGAGACATTGATGATGACCAGAGAGTTCTCACAAAAAGTCTGGAGAGAGTTGACCAGCAGTTAGCATAATGGATATGTCGCTGGATTCCCATGTAGTCAAACGCAGTTTGAGTCCCAGACCCAGTGGCTTAAAATTCACGCCGGGCGTGTGTGCGTGCGTGCGTGCCCAAGATCCCGAGAGGAGAATAGAGGAGAAGGGATTGCGGCGTGGCCATCCCCCCTTGGGGGTGATTTCTCGCTTTCTGTCTCTCTGTCTCTCTCTGTCTGGCGAGCACACGCACCCTATAGCAAAAACCTCTCCAAAAAAAAAAAAAAAAAAAGTCTAGAGCAGGGATCAGAGGTAATCTGGATAAGACACCAGGCCTTCGAATAAAATAAAATAGGGAGAAAAAGTTAAATGGTTAATACATTCATGCATTGAAAGGAACATGAAAACATTTAGAAAAACCATTACAAACCTTATGGCAAGAAGGAAAATGTTATTACGTAATTTTGTGTGAAAAGCAGGATATGCGATTGAATAAAACAATGTAAACCTATATGCCTATGGAAAAATCAAAGAACACATTCCAGACTAAAAATAACTTGGTTAAAAAAGTAATAACCATGTTCAAAAGTGTTGTTGAATGTAGCAAGCCTAGCATGAGAGGCTTAGGGAAAGGTGAACTCATTTTTGATCACTAGCCGTATGTGAGTTCCCTGATGGCAAAGTGGTTAAGTCAGCATTGCACTTAGTGTGTATTGCTGAGTCTAATCTTAGGAAAGAGGTTGTCCTGACTTTTCCCCACTGCCCCTGCATTTCCAGCTGTCAGACCTTTAACAACTCACCTAAGCTCTCTTTGCCTCTCATTTTCTCTTCAGTAAAAATGATTGTAATAATAATAATACCTACCTCACTAGGTAGGGAAGAGTACAGTGCTTAGAGCGGGCAGTATTTGCCACATAGTTAGCTGTGTAAGTGTTGGATACTTGTTGATTCCATTACAGCTAACACAATTTATATACTCTTGTATATTTTTCTACTTGTTTCCTTAAAAACAAAAACGAAAACGAAAACAAAAAACAGCTATTAGGACCAGCAGATGGCGTAATGGTTACATTGCTGGACTCCCATGTAGTCAACCGCGGTTTGAGTCCCGGACCTGGCAGTTTAAAACTCACACGGCACATGTATGTGCGTGCCCAGAAACCTGAGAGGAAACTAGAGGAGAAGGGATTGCAGATTGGGCAATTTCCTCTGGAGGGAGATTTCTCACTTTCTGTCTCTATCTTTCTCTGTCTCTCCAGTGAGCACACTTACCCTAAAGGAAAAATATCTCTCTAAAAACAAAAAACCCTCCAGCTATTATTGAGATAGATGGGTCAAAGAATAATACATGTTAGAGGCTCATTGTACTTGGGGCCCAGTTGCCCTCCTATAGGAATATACAAGAGAACTTAAAAACATTCATGAGAAAATGGAATTAAAATAGGAGTTTATCGTGGTACAAAAACTTTTGAAATCCATATGTGGAGTTTTTTCATAATATATATTTCCCATGGCCTAGTGGAAGACCCCCTCAGACATAGTGCATGCCCATCAGCAGTTACTTTAATAGAAGAGACCCTCATTGGCATGTCTCATGTCCAGGACTCTATATGGGATAATACACAAAGAATTCTGAGCATCCCCTCCAGGAACAGAGTGATACAATTAGTACTTTTATAAGAAGCTTTCACAGACTTTAGCTCATCTGATTTTCTCAGCACAGAGGCATGTGAAATGAAAATGCTTTCTTTTGCTTATTTTGACTATTACATCTGGGCCTACTCTTAATCTGTTTGAATGATTAAAGCATTTCTAAGTGTAAAGGTTGTTCTCTATATGCTCATCTACATTTTCTAAAATGATCTGTATTCTGTGTCCGTGACTATTAAGTTTATAACAGAGAGGCTCTTGTGGGACCGTGGGCACAGAACTTGATTCTGTTTTAGTTCTGGAAATTTGCCCTAGTTTGGGGGAATAGAACAATCTGGCACCTTCTATTTCATTTTATAGGTTCAAATACCATTGAGTATCACTGTGGGTTTTGGCTTGTTAAATACATTGGTAACAGCGGGGCTTTACTAATTTTAATAGTCCCCTTTTAACAGGAAAGAAGGGTTCAGTATTTATACTACCAGTATAGCCATTTTATTAACATGTTAAATTATAATCAAGGGCTGTTCTAGAAACTCATCAGATTTCCTAAACTTTCTGAAGCCATGGGAGTGTAATCCAGTCCAACTTCAAAGCTACTACTGTAGCCTTTGTCCCCATCATCTGGCTTGTTCAGTCTCCAAATGAAATTCGCACAACTGCCTGAGTTCAGGTATCAGTTACTGCCAGTTTTTAAGGCACCGTGAGTAATAGCTACTTTGTCCCCTTGTTGTGACTACTTAAAAAAAGAGTTTTGAAAGTGCATTTCTTTTATTCCATCCTTATAGACCTGTCTGGAAAGATTTACTTTTTTTTTTTTCAATGTTTTCCTTATTTTAAATTTTATTTCATTGTCTAGCAGAAGCATTGTATACATGCCTTATTTTATTTTATTTTTTAAGATAAAATATGAGGACTGAAATTAAAAGCCCCACCTTGAAACCACTCTCCCAAGGACTGGGGTTCTAATGAATTAGGCTACTAAATGCAATGTGAAGACAGAATAGGTAGTAGCTACCTCATCATCAGGCAGCAGCCATCCATGTATCCAGCAGCCATGTATCCATGGAGTCCTTTTCCAAGGGGACAGGAGCTATTAACTGTGTTAGTTGCTCTCTCCCTATGAAACTAGAGAATAGTTTAAAATTTCCTTTTCAGGCCTGTTCAATCACACAAATGACTTCCAGTTGCACAGGTGTGCAAAAATGCATAGAAATCCCTGACCATAATGCCATCTTCTGCTGGGCTCCATATGCCTCAGTCAAGCGGAGGCCAGATTCAATGATGTCCTGAGATTTAGTACAGATAGGCATCCAGAGAAATTCTGATGGCTCAGGGACTGGCTCCAGATCATCTTAGTCTATAAGATGCAAGACTAACTGGGGTGGTTTAGGATGGGTTCCTGAATTCCTTGGATTTTTTTAGTTCTTTTCTGCTCAGATACACTGCATTTTCTATCAAAATTCACAAGACTTTACAGCCTGAGGGCTAGGCCTGGAACTATAGTGGTTCATGTTAGTACCTTCAATTCCATGTCAGGTTTCATCCTATTTCCAGCTGAGGTACTACCCTGTTTTGGTCACATCACATGCAACTCTTCAAATTTTTTCTGTCAGCTGGAGTTTGAATAAAGAAACTTAAAAACTCTGGTTCCTTTGATCAGTTTAAGACAAGTCGCCATCTCTCCCGGATTCCAGCCAGGTGTGTTATCCAGCAGTACTATCCTTAGTGTGACATGGGACTCAGAGGTTGTTTGTCCTTAGGGCTTCCCAGTGTGTGCCCACCTTGACATCGTGGTGTGGCTAAGTTCCCATTAAATTGCCCGTGATCCGTGGTTCAGTGACTGTCCTCATGTCACACCTAGTTTCAGTATACTCTGTGAAAATTGGATTGGGAAGACCACCCTAGTCAACTGAGCAGTACAATGATTTAAAGCCAACATTTAAAAATAAATACTCCTGCCCTAGTGTCTTCTAATAGTTTGCATGGGCCATCGTCTAGATGTTCTGGAAATCAAATGTGCTTACAGCTATTGTGTGTATACATCTGTGGTATATCATTTTTCCCCCCTCTCTTTTTAGGACCAGGAAGAGAACAAGGGAGCTACAAGTTGGCCTGAATTCTATATCGATCAACTCAATTCCATGGCTGCTGTAGGTATACTTTATGTTCTGTGACACAGTTTAAAATTCGAGACTAGTACAAAGTACACAGTTGCACAATAAATTTGATTGAGTAAGACGCCCCAAATGTCATTACCTTTCCAAACACTCGGTGTTGGGGGAAAATAAAGGGACAGGAGTGGTACTTGGCAAAGTGATTTTTCCAGAAGGTTTTAAATAAAATCAGCACACACTAAACTATAATTGAGTTTAACATTATAAGAGGAAACGTAATCTGAAATCTGGCTTGTGTTCAACTTTAACTTGCAATTGCTCATACTGATGCTTTGTTAAGGCATCACTACTCTAAAAGTTAACACCATTTAAAAATAGTACAATGAAACTATTCCTTCACAACGTCTCCCGTTCTCTCTTTTGCTGGGAACTTGGTTATTTCCTGACTTCTTGATTTTACAAGAGACAAGAGACTAAGATGCTCTTTTATTCATATAATAGATAAGGAATTCATGGAATTTATAACATCTAAGTAGTTGATAGCTCTCAAAATACTTTTCTCCACCTCTTTCCTGCCTTCCTAGAGTCCTTATAAAGAATTAATTTCTTATCATTTAAAGCAAATATTTAAAGTTGTTTGATATTTTGCTGCTGCTGCAAAAGTTAATTTTTTTTTTTTTGAGAGGTTTTTGCTGTAGGGCGTGTGTGCTCACCAGAAAGACAGAGACAGAGAGAGAGAAAGCAAGAAATCACCTCCCAGGGGGTATGGCCACGCCGCAATCCCTTCTCCTCCATTTTTCTCTCGGGATCTTGGGCACACATGCACACGCACCTGGCGTGAGTTTAAGCGACCAGGTCCAGGACTCGAATTGCAGTCAACTACATGAGAGTCCAGCGACATAGTCGTTATACCAACTGCTGGTCCCACAAAAGTTAAACTTTTTTTTTTTTTTTGGAGAGATTTTCACTATAGGGCGCATGCGCTCACCAGACAGAGAGAGACATAGAGACAGAAAGCGAGAAATCACCCCCCAGGGGGGATGGTCACGCCACAATCCCTTCTCCATTCTCCTCTTGGGATCTTGGGCACGCATGCACACATGCCCGGCATGAGTTTTAAGCCACCGGGTCCGGGACGTGAACCGCGGTCGACTACGTGGGAGTCCAGCGACATAACCATTACGCTAACTGCTGGTTCCCAAAAGTTAAACTTTTGAATAGAGTATGTGAAACATTCATATTTTTGCTGAACTTTAGAGGACTTGTCTTTTAGTAATTTATAGTCTTTTCTCTGAAAATGTTTTACCCTTTTCTTTTCTTTATCCTTTTTTTTTTTTGGCTATTATAGAGTGAATAACAAACTGCTTGGTAAATTTAAGCAGGGCTGTATAAATTATAGAAGAAACTGCATAAGTTTTTCCTCCAAGGGTTTCTATTCTAAAAGCATAGCAGAAAAGGTTAGAAAATAACCACGAAGTCCTTCTTATTCAAGACACCCTCCACAATGCCAACGATGAGAAGTGATCTCAGCACTTGTCTGAATACACTAAGAGAATGTGAGGCTTGTGATGACCACTAGGGATTTTTCTGTGCATTTTTCCTAAGCAGTGATAATTTGGAACCATTTACATTTTATGCATGTGAAGACTGTTTTCTAAATTCTTGCTCCTGGCCGTTAGGAAAAAAAAAGAACCATTGTACAGACTGTCTCTCTTTCCAATTAAGTCAGCATTGTTTGATGTCTAACAAGAGAAGTTTCTTCTATGTTAATGAATTCCCTTCTATAGATGAAACAGTACGAAGTTCTGTGAATTTTTCCTTTCTGCAGATATTGGAGGCATTTAGATTAATTTGTCCTTTAGGGACTTAGTCCCGGCCTTGCCTGGAGCAGACCTGGCTCGGTCTGTGCTACAGAGTTTGCAATGTGCCAATATGCAGCCCTTCTTCAAGAGCCTCCTTTCTCCTTCATCCAGCTCCTTGGACGGGTCTTCGCTACATTCTTGAGTTGTCTACATTTTAATTATATTTGGTTCCAGTGTCTGTCTCAAGAGCATCACAAGGCTCTTAAATTGTCAGTAACTTTGCTCTATGTGTCAAATACCTAATGAAGCTTTCTTATGCCCCTCTTAGGACTGAGCTAGGGTTTTTCCAGGGTGAAAGACAAAAGCTACTAACAGTCCATGACAGAACTCCTACATACTTAAAGGAACCCAAGGTCTGATGACTAAAAATGCTACGCAAGGTTTTCTGTTTTTCTCACCATACTGGTTGCCAACACATCCTTGCATGTTCTGGCTAATCTCTGATATCTGTACTGGAGAAATCCTGACAACACACAGCAAAAATCCTGAGATGTTGTCGCTGGGAACTAGAAAGGCACATAGCCGTTCCTCCAAGTTTTCCCATGGCCTGGCAACTAGACCTCTGGCTCTCTGCGTTGGGGATCGACGAAGGGGCATTTGTCCATGTCACTGTCATCCACTTTGTGTAGCGTTGGTAACAGCTATTGCTTTCGAGTGTACCTTGTGTGACAACAGGCTACCAGGCAAGCTACATGTTTTACACCTGTGCAGTAAAGTGCTATTTATAGACTCAGGGAAAAGGTGACTTTGCCCAAGATGCACTAATTAGGAAGTGCTCATCTAATCAGGAATCTAACCTGTCTGAGCTTAAAGACTCCTTCCCCACTTGCCTCTTGCTAACTTGGTTTTTAGAACCCTTTGGCACATGAAAGAGACCTGATAAACACCCTACTTTGAAGGGATGAAGGAGTCCAGGCAGCTCCTTTCCTACCATCCTCTGGTGACAGCTGTCCAGGCACATCACAGCAAAAGGACAGCTTTGGCAGAGACAAGTTACAAAAACGGAAGATTCTACTGGCTTTTGTTTTAGTTGCCTTAACCGGCAGTGATGTATTTACTTGCTTTGGGCTCCCCACCCCTACCTCCAGGCCTACCACTGTGGGCTGTTCTGAGGTGGGACCGGCGTCTGTTTCCTTGAAGGCCTGGAGAGTCTGATAAATAGTGCAGGTCCCGAGCACCTGCTGGCCTGTGAAGCCAGCTCTTTGTAGAGCAAGTTTAGTTACTCTCTGTAAGCCACATAACAAGAATGCTTTGTTCTTGGGACCAGCAGTTGGCGTAATGGCTATATTGCTGGACTCCAATGTAGTCGACCGCAGTTCAAGTCCTAGATCCGGTGGCTTAAACCTCACTCCGGCTGCATGTGCATGCTTGCCCAAGATCCCAAGAGGAGAATGGAGGAGAAGGGATTGCAGCGTGGCCATCCCCCCTAGAGGGTGATTTCTCACTTTCTGTCTTTCTCTGTCTTTTTGGTGAGTGCACACACCCTATAGCAAAAACCTCCAAAAATAAAAAAATAAAAAAATAAAGAATGCTTTGTTCTTTAAAGGACCCAAGTGATCTCTTGGCTTTTAAAACGTGAAAAACGTTCCAATAAAGGAGTGCAGCTTACAGGCTCTGGAAGGACCTGGCCTTGCTCTGATGCTGGTGTCTCCCTGTTTTTTGTGAGGGGAGCTTCCCTGCCTTTAGTGGCCTGGCTGACTAATACTGACTTCACACCAAGGAAATGTTGCAAATGGGGGCTTAGTCCCAGACTCCCAGGCAGCTAAGATTTCTATGCCACATTTGTGCATTTCTCTGAGACCCACGTGTTCTAGTGTGGCAGCGTCGACAGAAGACCCTCTGCCTGGATGCCAGTTTATGGAGCAGGTGTTCCGTGAGTCCAGAGAGCACCCAAACAGGCCTCTCCAGGACTCATCCTATATGTGCCAGGGTGCAAAGGTAGCACATAAGTCTCTTCCTCAATGTGAAGCTTGAAAACTCAAGACTTTAATGTAAATTTTCTTAGTTTGAAAAGTCATATTTGAGTATCAGGTTCATCTCCAGAGCCTCAGTTTTCTCAATAGAATAAACTCCATCTTAGATTCAAATCTAAAATTGTACCATATACAGAAAAGATCATCATCTCTGGAAAGAAAGGTAATGTTCCTTACATGGATAAAGGAAGTTCTAATTTAATTTTTGTTGATTTTTCATAAATCTCCCCTCTTCAAGGAGATACTTAATATAATCTGCCTTTATTTGAATGTTCTACCCTCTCTAATATAGCTAAAAGGATAAACACATGTATCTTCATTTAGTATTAGTGACTTACAATGTGTCATTTTTAATTTGGGAATAGTTTTACGAGATTAAGTTTAGGAATGAAGAGTGATATTCATAAAAATTCTTGATTCTGCACTGCAGTTTTAAAGTGATTTAGAGTCCCAAAGAGTTCAGCAGTGCCACTGGAGATTAAGCACACTTGGCTAGATTTGTGCTCAGTTTTCCAGAGGACCGGTCTCACAGAGCTTTGAAGGAATAAAGGAGCATTGGCTGTTACTTCAGGCAGCTTCTTTCCTACCATCCTCTGGTGACAGCTGTCCAGGCACATCACAGCAAAGGACAGCTTTAGCAGAGACAACAAGTTACAAAAACAGAAGATTCTACTGGCTTTTGTTTTAGTTGCCCTAACCGGCAGTGATGTATTCACTTGCTTTGAGCTTTGCCGTTCTTGTTATGAAGTCAAATTTAGGTTGTAGTTAACATTTACTTACTTAATGTTGGTACTATTGTTTTAAAAAAATAAAGCCATGCTTGATGATTTGTAGTCCTGAAAAAAAGGGAGAGACTGGATCATTGAGACGCATGGATGAGTCAAACTTTTCTTGGACAGTATAGACTGTAATATGGTCTTCCCAGTCTGTTTTCTAATCAACCATTTATCAGGATTGGTTACAAGAGATTGAGACTACACTAGCATGTGATCAGAATAGCATGAAGAAAAGGGACCAGTAGCTCCTTGGGTGGTGACTACTGGGTTTATAAAATGGGTTTTAAGTACAACTAGGGGATCATAGCGTGAAAAAGAATGGGAAGAACTATAAACCTTACTAGAACTCATGACTCTATAATGTCAGTTGAGGTTTGTTCTAGCAGCATTAGCCATTGCCTGGAAATTAGTCAGAAATGCAATATCCCAAGCCTCACTGCAGACACACCAAACCAGAGCCCACAGTTTAACAAGATCCCCAGGTGATTTTCATATTCACATTAAAGCTGAGACACTCTGCTATAGCAGATCCCTGGGCAGGAAATACATGTGCACACACACACTCCATATCATGATTTCTAAGAAATGTTGAATCATTTCTAGAAGATAAGCATTTACTCTGAAGGAATTGTCCGTCTTAGTGCCAGGTCCAATTTAATTGTTTTTCTTTAAAAAATAACTTGATGTTACAAAGTCCCTTTGGTTTTGATTACACTTTTCAGTTGAGGAATGGGAGCAGTTGTGTGGGAAGGTGGCTGTCAGCCTGCTCTTTTGATAGTGATATCATTACTAAGTTTAATTACCAGAACAGTGTATTTGATTACAAGGCCAATCTTCTATCAAATAAAAACAGTAATATCTACATCAGAATGTAGTTACAGAATATTTATATAACATTTGGGCCACTTAATCTCTACTAAGATAACTAAACATGTTCTTTTTTTTTTTTTTTTTTTTTGAGAGGTTTTTGCTATAGGGCGTGTGTGCTCGCTAAACAGACAGAGACAGACAGAAAGCGAGAAATCACCCCCCAGTGGGGATGGCCACGCTGCAATCCCTTCTCCTCCATTCTCTTCTCGAGGTTTTGGGCATGCACACACACGCACCCGGTGTAAGTTTGAGTCACCAGGTCCAGGGCTCGAACCACAGTCAACTCAGCAACATTGGTTTTGATTACACTTTTCAGTTGAGGAATGGGAGCAGTTGTGTGGGAAGGTGGCTGTCAGCCTGCTCTTTTGATAGTGATATCATTACTAAGTTTAATTACCAGAACAGTGTATTTGATTACAAGGCCAATCTTCTATCAAATAAAAACAGTAATATCTACATCAGAATGTAGTTACAGAATATTTATATAACATTTGGGCCACTTAATCTCTACTAAGATAACTAAACATGTTCTTTTTTTTTTTTTTTTTTTTTGAGAGGTTTTTGCTATAGGGCGTGTGTGCTCGCTAAACAGACAGAGACAGACAGAAAGCGAGAAATCACCCCCCAGTGGGGATGGCCACGCTGCAATCCCTTCTCCTCCATTCTCTTCTCGAGGTTTTGGGCATGCACACACACGCACCCGGTGTAAGTTTGAGTCACCAGGTCCAGGGCTCGAACCACAGTCAACTCAGCAACATAGCCATTACACCAACTACTGGTCCCACTAAACATGTTCTTAAAGGTCTGTTTGAAAGACCTAACTTATGGTAAAACCAACAAGTTCGTAGAATTCTTGGTGGTGGTGTTATATTAATTCATTTTTACTTGTAGTAAATCTTAATCATAGACTTATTGATTATTCATACTGATGTGATAGAAACCTGTAATTTATGGGCTCATCTTATTTGTACTGTAATTAAAACAAAATAGAATTTGAAGAAATAACTTTGTTTTCTTTGTATAGAGAAAATCTCTGCTGGCATTAGAGAAGGAAGAAGAAGAAGAAAGGAGTAAAACTATAGAGAGCTTGAAGACAGCACTAAGGACAAAACCAATGAGGTAATATTTCCCTGAGTACTTTCTCCTCTCCTTCTTCCCTCCTTTATTCTGCAATAGTCCAGCCTTCCAGGAACTCTTATATTAAAAGCACATAATTGAACCATGAATGAAATACTGTAATTGTTGTATATTTAATAAATTGATTATCTTCAATTAGAAGATATGCAGACAGCAACTAAGAGAGTTAAAATAAAGAAGACAGGCTATTAATGATAAGAATGCGTGCAAATTGGAACCCTCATTCATTGCTGGTGGGCATGTAAAATGGTGTAGTTGCTTTGGGAAATAGTTGGGTGGTTCCTCAGAACATTAAACATAGTGTTGCCATATGTCCCACCAATTCTACTGCTGGGTAGATAGCCAAGGGAAATGAAGACATGTTTCCCATAAAACATGTACACACATGTTCAAAGCAGTATTATTCATAATAATCAAAAAATAGAATCAACTCACATGTCCATCAGTTGAATGGATAAATAGAATGCAATATATCCACACAATGGAATATTACTCGCTAAAAAGGAATAAAGTACTGATACGTGCTAAAACATGGAATACCCTCAAAAATATTATGCTATGTGAAAGCAGCCAGTCACAAAGGACCACATATTGTTTGATTCTATTTATATGAAAGTCTAGACTAGGTCAATCCATAAAGACAAAGTATTGTAGATTAGTGGTTGCTATTGGTTGGGAAGCAAGAAGAATAGTCTTTTTGGAGGTGATTGAAATGTTCTAAAATTTGATAGTGTTGACGGTTGCATACTCTGCAGCTATACTACAAAGCACTGAATTCTATAAGAGGGCAAACTTTCTGGTATATGAGTTATATCTCAATAGAAATGTTATTTTTAGAAGTGAGCAGACTTTCCAGCAATAGTGATTCATTTCCTCTCAGGTAATCAGATTCCCTTGTGTGCCTCTTGGACCTCATTTTCCACAAATGCCTCTAGGATTTGGTGAGGTGCTGGGGTTCTTACAGGTACACTACATTAACACAGGTGTTATGAATGACGCTAATTAGTATAACCAGCTTAGCCATATGTATCTGGGTCATGTAGTTGGGTTAAATGGCTAGAAAATGGGTTCTCTTTCTTTATTTGACTCTAAAATGCAAACAGAAAAATTACTGGTTTATCAAAAATATGGTAAAGTTATATGATGGAGGTCTTCTAGACTATTCTAACTAGATCAATGTTACCCTTACTGTATTCTGTGATCTCCAATGTTAATGAGTATCCAAAGCTAAATAACTGAAAATTTCTAGCGTAGTAAGATAAATAGGTTATTTCTGAACTTTTCAGAACCTTTACTATGCACATGTATGTGGATTATTCTAATTGATTGACTTTCCAATAAATAAGTGTGATAAGTATTAATAAAATTAACATATAGAAATAAAGTATTGCCTTTATCTGTTTTATATAGTGGGATTCCATGTAGCATGTTATAAAAAATGTTTTGATAAAACCTTAGGGATGTATATGATCACTTGTTCAAAAGCAAATATCTTGGAGTTTAAGGGTACACTTTGACTTTCATTACTAGGGGACTTGGGTCAGTGGTCAACACATAAAGATGCAAGGGGAGTTGAATGCCACAATAACTCAGGGTCAGCAGATGCTTTTAACCTAAGACATGGTGTGTGTTCTGAGTGCCCTCTTAGTCAGATTTCATATTGGTATATGATCTGTTATTTGGGTCTCTATATCAGTTGAGATGCCTTTACCTCAAATGGAGTTGAATTTTTCATACTTCTGTTGGACTATGCCATGGAAGAGGCAAAGAATTAAGAAGATTTTATAATGTAAGGCTTTTTGTGCTTCAGGAACAAAATAGTTTTCCTTTCCTCTGCCCCCAAAGTTTTGTATTATGAGTTCGTATAAAACCCTGAAGGGACTCAAGTCTCACACACTTCTCCTTATGACAGGTTTGTAACCAGATTCATTGACTTGGATGGCCTGTCATGTATTCTCAACTTTCTCAAGACCATGGACTACGAGACCTCGGAGTCTCGGATACATACCTCGCTCATTGGATGTATAAAGGCGCTAATGAACAACTCTCAAGGTCGGGCTCACGTCCTGGCTCATTCTGAGAGTATTAATGTAATTGCTCAGAGTCTGAGCACAGAGAACATTAAAACAAAGGTGGCCGTGCTGGAAATCTTGGGCGCCGTGTGCCTGGTTCCCGGGGGCCACAAGAAGGTTCTGCAGGCCATGCTGCACTACCAGAAGTATGCCAGCGAAAGAACCCGCTTTCAGGTGGGTACTCTCTCATCCACTTCATTCTCCCCTTCTTTAACTCTGCTTAACCAGTCTTTTCTGGCTCCAGTGGTCGACTATCACCTGAGATTTTCCCATGTGGCAAAATCTCCCATTGTGACTTTAAACATTCCTTTCCTCCTAGGTTTGAGTACTGAGAATATACTTTCTACAGCTGAGTGATCTGGAGTTTTAGATTTACTGAACTAAAAAATGTGGCTCTTCATTCCATATATTATAAAGCACACATCTTTACATCCCCTTAAAGGGGTATTCTCTGAAAATTTTATAAGTTGCCATTCTTGATTTACAATGAATGTGAATAGTGAGATTACAGCACCATAATTTTACTCAGCTTTAGCAAACAGAGGGGGACCAGCAGTTAGCGTAATGGCTATGTCGCTGGACTCCCACGTAGTCGACCACGGTTCGCGTCCTGGACCCGGTGGCTTAAAACCCATGCTGGGCATGTGTGCGTGTGTGCCCAAGATCCCGAGAGGAGAATGGAGGAGAAGGAATTGTGACGTGGCCATCCCCTCTGGGGGGTGATTTCTCACTTTCTGTCTCTCTGTCTCTCTCTCTGTCTGTCTGGCGAGTGCACGTGCCCTATAGTGAAAAACCTCTCAAAAAAAAAAAAAAAAAAAAAAAGCAAAAGAGGTAACAAAGCAAAGTCTTTTGTGTTAATGAACACATATGATATAAGAATTTTGAAAGTCAAATTTTTAGTACAAACCTTAGAAAAAGGTGATTTTTGATGGATTAATATAATTCTGATGAAACATAAGATTTAAAAAATTAACTCCTGAGTATAAAAAGTTCATAAGATGAGTATAAAGTTAGTAATGATTTGATTCTTTGTCTTTATATTTGTATCCTTGGTAGACATTAATTAACGACTTGGATAAAAGCACTGGGCGTTATCGGGATGAAGTGAGTCTCAAGACGGCTATCATGTCCTTCATCAATGCAGTGCTAAGCCAAGGCGCAGGAGTGGTGAGAACTTTACATACTCTGATTCAGAAAAGGTGCCACTAAAGAATAATTTTTAAAAACATGATTACTCTGTCATCTACAGACCATAAATATGTATTTTACTTTCAGGAGAGTTTGGACTTCAGACTTCATCTTCGTTATGAATTTCTTATGTTAGGAATTCAACCTGTCATAGATAAATTAAGGGAACATGAAAATTCAACATTGGATAGGTAAGTCTGATAGTTAGGACCTGAGCTATTTCATGCCTTTTTTTCCCATATATGGAGTAAATGCCTTACCAAGTATCGGTCTGTGAACTTGTTGTGACCATCTGTAAAATAAGAAGCTTACACCAGAATATTTGTTCTGCTAATGAAGTTTTTATAGTAAGACTTTGTTAATGAAGGAAGCAGTGCATTGTGTAGAGAAGTTAGTGTGGGTTTTGGCATTAGACCAGAATCCATATCCTATCCTCTTTCTAACTCTTGCTTCCTATGTATCCTGGTCAAGTTACTCAGTTTTTCCTGGACTTAACTACATTTACACCCATAAAACATGGTGATGAGGGTGAGGAGGGAAATGATAATGATAAGTATCTTTCAGGTCTGTTGTGAAAACTGATCTAAACCCTGGGAGAATTACTTAGTCTCTTGCATTTTGTGCATGTTAATTTCCACCTCTGTTCATTTGCCCTTGTATGCAGCGGTTTCACTATCCCTAGGATATCCCTAGTATCCCTGAGACTTTTTCCCTCTCACTCCTTCATTCCTGTGCTACAGCATCGTCTTCTCCTTAATATTCTGGCAACATGTCAAAAGCACTCTTGCCTCAGGGCTTCTGCAGTTGCTATTTCCTCAGCTTCAAAAGATCTTTCACAGATGTCCAAATTGCTTATTTCCATGTTCCCTGCAGTGAGGCTTTTTCCAACCACTACATGTGCATTATTCACCTCACCTCCCAGCATTTTCCATTCCCTTTACCCTGATGTAGTTATCTTCATAGACTGTATTAATATCATCCCTAGTGTGTTAGAATACATAGTAGGGGCACAATAAATATTTGAATGAATAAATCAGGGCATGACATTCTTCTGTGATCTTTTATTCATTGGCAAGCCAAGTGCAGGTATATGGGCTTGTTTTTCCCATCAGGGGACTCTGTGAGTAGCATCTAGACTTCATTATTTTTAGATTTGATAAACATTTATTAATTTAACACATTTTTCTTTTATTGTGGTCATATTCCACTGAGATCTTGTCTTTTTTTTTTTTAAAGAACATTGTTAAGAAAGGCATTTAAGTTTTGCTGTTTTATTTCTCTTAGAGGTATCTCTAAAAATTCAGCAAATGCTTTAGTCAAATGCCGAATCCTTTGTATGTGCATAGGAGACTCACTGTTAATAACTTCTCTCTAATTATCTTTCAGGCATTTAGATTTTTTCGAAATGCTCCGCAATGAAGATGAACTAGAATTTGCCAAACGATTTGAACTGGTATGTTGCTTTTAATTATTGTGATTTGACTCATGAGCTCACACAAGTTCACCTTTGTGATGTGTGTCATAAAGTCTCCATGGACCAAAATCAAAGTTCTGTGGCCTTGGTGGCAGGATTTGTTTCTGTTTGCTTTGGGCTCACTTCGCTGGCATCGGGGGAATTGAGAACATGGATATTGGCTTAGATTTCTTTTTCCTATAAAATAGGTTCACATTGACACAAAAAGTGCAACTCAGATGTTTGAGCTGACCAGGAAGAGGTTGACTCACAGTGAAGCTTATCCTCACTTCATGTCCATCCTACACCACTGCCTCCAGATGCCTTGTGAGTGGATTGCTGACTTACATATGTGTGGCTGGATGTTTGAACTTCATCCAGTGGATTCTGTCTTCTGAGCAGTGTTGATTATATTGGGTATACAGCAGTGATTCCAGTTCTTAGTTTTGTGACAGCCCAATGTGTGTCTCCACACAGCTTAGGGAATATAATAAAATTCCTAAAGTAAATTATAATGAACTTTGATTTCAAAAATAAGTAGATGCCTTACAACATTTAGAAAAGGTCAGAAAGTGCTTGTCAATCAAATAATTATCACTAGTCCAAATTCCAGTCACTTTGGGGAGCATTGGTGCAGATATAAACATAGCTCTGGTTCTGTAGCTCTAAAAGGTGACTAGCATTGAAAAATACTCATCCTAGTTTAAAATTAACTTGAGGGGCCAGTACATGGCATGGTGGTTATGGCATTTGACTCCCACATGGCCAACCATGGTTCGAGTCTTGGACCTGGTGGCTTGAAAATCATGCTGGGTGCATGTGCATGCATGCCCGAAATCCCAGGAGGAGAATAGAGAGGGGATTGCAGTGTGGCCATCCCCTCCAGGGGATAATTTCTCACTTTCCTCTCACCATCTCTCTATCTCTCCCTGGAGAGCTCATGCAACCTATGGCAAGAACAAAACTCTTTTTAAAAAAAATTAAGAAAAAATAGCCATAAAATAGATTCATAAACTATACTTGAAATTTTTTGCACCATTCTTTTCTTTTTCAGATAAGAGGAGTGGAAACACCGTTCAGTACTGGTTACTACTAGACAGAATTATACAGCAAATAGTTATCCAAAACGACAAAGGACAGGATCCTGATTCCACACCTTTGGAAAACTTTAATATTAAGAATGTTGTACGAATGTAAGTTATCTTCTTATTCTGCTCCCTGGAAGATAATAGTAGAAATGTGAGACCTTCATTTAATCCTACTTCAAAATAACAGCTGGAAGAGCTGAAATTTGCTCTAGGGATCAAATATGAGTTACTATATATATATATGTGTGTGGGTGTGTGGGTGTGTATATATATATATATACACACACACACACACACATATATAGATATATATATATATATATGAATTATATCCAAGAAACATCTGGGTTTACATGGGTCTCAAGTATGCTGAGGGTTTTCTCTTCAGTAAACTGTTTTTGTGCCTAGGAAGAATACATTTAGCACTGGACCCTTTTACTGTTTTTTTCTAATGGATGTGTCTTTGATTATTATGCAGGTTGGTTAATGAAAACGAAGTTAAGCAGTGGAAAGAACAAGCAGAAAAAATGAGAAAAGGTAAATAGCGAGGCCCTGACAAGAAAAAAGGTCATGTTATTGGTTATTGGTGACCCTGCTTTCTGTACATTTTGGAAATTTATATTGATTTTTCTTATTGGCTTTAGTGTATCAAACAGCCTTCCTCCCCTCCCATGTCTTAAGGGCATTTAGCATTGGCTTTAAAAAGAAAATCAAGCTATTTGAGTTACCATGCTGATTATCAAATATTTTATCCTTTCATTAAAATCATGTACATTTTTTTGAAATGCTTGTAGTGTTTACTGTTCAGTATTAATTATTTCAAATTTTGTTAACTGCTAATCACTCAGACCCTCTCCCTGACCCATAACTGCTCTTTACAGCATACTGGGTTATACGGAATATAATAAGGGACGGCAGGGATTACCTGAAATTTTAAAGGAGATGCAGGGGCCATTTGATTTCAGCAGCCTAATTCTCTCTTAATTTGGCATCAGTTATAAAAAGCAAAATCTTGCTGAAGTCAATGACCATTGCAGAGATGTGTGTTATGAAATATTAATAGGCCAGCTCTTAGTGGATAGGTGAATCTATCTTTGATGCCATCACTCAGCATCAAATGATGGAGAGACATGGATGTCCATCACTGTGCCAGCCATTCACAGAAATTTATATAGCTTTCCTCCCTCCTGTAGAATATTAGCAAATAAAAATTGGCCCCTTTGTGAAAATGAATCCTCTTAGCCACTGCTCACCCCATACTAGCTAACTGACTCCTTTTCTCTTGTCCAAGTAATTCTGTCACTGCCAATGAAATATAATAGCATTCATCCTGATAAATATAATTTTTTTGATAAGTTTTTGCTGTAGGGCGTGTGCACTCACCAGAAAGTCAGAGAGAGGCAGAGAGAGAGAAGGTGAGAAATCACCCCCAAGGGGGGATGGCCATGCCACAATCCCTTCTCTTTTCTCCTCTCGGGATCTTGGGCACATATACACGCGCGCGCCCGGTGTGAGTTTAAGCCACCGGGTCTGGGACTCGAATCATGGTCAGCTACATGGGAGTTCAGCAACATAGCCATTAGGCTAACTGCTGGTCCCATTCATCCTGATATTTCATGTGTTGAGAAAATGGCCCAAGAGATGCTTAAGCATTTCCTTTCCTCTCATCACATTTGTTCTTTTCCATTGAACAAAAAGGCAGTACCAACTACTGATACCAAAAGTCACCAGATGTGCAGTACTGTTATGACACAAGTTGTATGTATTCAGATTGCTCTCAAACAAATGAGGTTATGCATATGTTTTCATAAATAAATTTTAGAAACTGCTGTAAAAGAACAAAACCCCTGACTAAAGTTATCCTTACAATAGTCCAAGATAGAAGTGGAGATAGAAGAAGGAAAATGAAATGCAGTGAGGTAGTTTTTAGATGTGTCTCCACAGAAGTGCTGGAAGCAACCGTGGAGTGGTAGAAGTGGGCTGATGATTATCTTAGCAACAAGACTAGTATAATAAAATCCAAGGTTGTTAGTGGTGCAAATCCCTCTTTGCAAACTGATTTTTAGAGACACTGAAAAGAGAAGTTCAGAGACTGAAAATACGAGAATGTGTGTTTTTAAATTCAGAAATAGGGACCAGCTCTGTATAGTTCTGCCCCAGTGGGTTATATCTCTAGTGGATTTATTGATATAAAAAGAATAGAAATTAAGGGCAAGTGTTAAAATAAAAGTCTGCAGCCTAAACTTTGTTAGTTCTTTCCCAAAGTGTGTCCCTCCCGTCTGCAAGCCTGTAGTCATTGGCAATGCGAGTGAGCTTTCTGCTGACTGGGATGTCCTGTTCCATTCTAGCAGGGCAGAAAGTCAGTGGAACTACAGCTGGGAGCTAATATTTTCCTCCCTGTTAACACGATTCTCATGCTCAACCAATGCTACTGCCCTTTAGATATTTAATACTGAGATGTTAACGTTTGTTTTTGTAAGTTTTCAAAACTGTTTGCCAGAAGCATAAAATACTTCAGTAGTCTTCTGAGGAGGGATGGGAGAGACAATCTCATATTGATCCAAACACCGGGACTGGCAGTGGCTCTCACAGCAGAGAGCCTTCCTTCAGTCTTTGCTAGCTGGACGCCAGCCCGCAGACCTAGCTCATAACTGGATTTCTTGTGGAACCCATTTCTAATTTGTGAAAAGAAGCCCTTTTAATATTTATTTTTCCTCCTTA